GCTCCTCTCTCTCTCTCTCTCTCTCTCTATCGCTCTCTGTGCATATACAGTACATCATATTACTGCATGTATCTATCTGTAAATCTCAGTCACTAACCACCTACTTTCCTGGGAGCTCTTGAGCTCTCTTAGTCTCCTCGAGATCGTTGGTTGACGGCCTGCCAGAACAATCCAATGTTTTTTCTTATCACTGTAACTTTTGCTGCTTTGCTAAAGTGCTCATGATGGATAGGCCGGATCTTTGTAATATAGCAATAAGTAAGATCTTTTACCTGCTTTTTGTAACATAACAATGAGTAAGGTCTTTTTACCTGCTCTTTTGTAATGTTAACAGACAAAGAGTAAGGTCTTTTACCTGCTTTTTGTAAAGTGTCTCGAGATAACACTTGTTATGAGTTGACGTTATACAAATAAAAATTGATTGATTGATTGAGTGATTGATAGGCAGGGGTGTCACTAGGTTTTGAGGACAGGGGAGGCTTAGCCCCCAAGAGATCCATAGGATTTGAGCGAACGTAGCGCGCGAGCACAACATTTCACAAACAGCTAACAAAGACTGAGAAATTATTTATTATTATTATTTCAGTCTGTTTTTTTTAATACAGTACAAGAACAAACACAGGTTTGCACAGTAACAGTAACAGCTTCAGCCACCCTAAAATAGGCCTAATGACACCACTGGCTATAGGTAAAGATGTTGAAAGAAATGTGTGTTATCTGGTTCATTATTATCTCAGGCAACATTAAAGTGGCAGTTAACACATAAGGCCAGAGGGAATATAAACTTAATGAAAACCAGCAGGAGCAAAACATCAGGTTAATATATTGATAATGTTACATATTTTATGATAGAAGAGAAAATATTGCTTGATGACTGTATTATGATGCTCTCTCAGACTCTTGCCCTGAGAGCTACTTGCACAGTGACCGCCCTTCACATCAGCCCTTAGTGGAACATGGTAAGCCCAGTTCTGCAAATTCATTGCATTTATAAAAAGGGACTCAAGGTTGGTAACATAGGTTTTTCATGTTTCACTGAAGCTTTATCAAAAAGTTAGAACAGAACATACATAGAGACAAGCAATTGTGGTTTTTTTTATTGTTTGCACTGCTTCTTTAGTCTGAATGCTAAAATTGTCTGTAAATTCACATTTTAAAGCTGATATTTAAAAGAAAAAATCTTCCCGGGGGAGCATGCCCCCAGACCGCCCTAGGTGTTTTGGATCCATGTCACCTTTTTCATCCCTGATGAGTTTGCACTCCTGCAATTACTGTAACCACTCCAATCTCACCCAAGTACGCCTCCAACCTCTCCCACAACCAACCTTTAATTGCATTTCAGCTAAATTTGGTCTTTTAAATATCAGATCCATTAATAATCAATCTTTTATCTGCCTTGATTTTATGAATCATAATAATCTGGATTTTTTTTTATTGTCACTGAGACCTGGTTGACTATGGGAGATTGCAGTCATCTGATTGAAGCAATTCATATGTTATTCATAGAAAATATTTTAAATGCACTCCAATTTTACACACTCATTTACATCATTTGAGCATCTTGGTTTTATTGTTAACTTAAAAGATCCCGTGTTCATTTTAATCATCTACAGACCTAACAGTGTTTTTATTGCCCTAAGAACTTTGAGACAAAGGATGTCTGTGTGTCAGACCACAAACTGGTTTTATCTCAGCCACCTTTTATTAGCAAGGCACCTATCCGCAGCAGGGTTTTTAACTCTACGTCTGCTATCAAGTTTAAGGATCTTTTTATTTCTGTGTCTTCACAGAAATAAAAGATGAGCTGGTCTCCTCTTTTAATCTCACCTGTCAAGATGTGCTGGACTCTGTTGCTCCTTATAAAGACAAAAAGACTAACAGAGCTCCATGGCTAAACGAACTGACTCAGGATCTAAAAAGAGACTGCAGAAGGAAAGAACGAAAATGGAAAAAAACAGGCTTGCATGTATTTTATGAAATATGGAGAGATACAATGAAACAATACCAAAAGGCAGTTAAAGATGCAAGAGCAGCATTTTATTCTAATCTGATTTTAGCCAATCATTCTAACCCCAGAATTTTATTTAAGGTTTTAGAATCAATCACCACCCTCTCCCCTTCTTATTTTACTGATCCTTCTCAGGATCTGTGTGAGAAGTTTTTAACATATTTTACTAATAAAGTCAAGGACATTAGGCAACAAATCATCCCCCCAGACCGTATTTTAGACACCAGCAGGGAACTTAACAGTTATTTTAGCAGTTTTGAGCTGGTGTCCTTGACCTTTTTATCTGAAATTTTAACCCACAGCTCAGCTACGTGCAGCCTTGATTTTATTCCCACAACGTTTATCAAAGAGATTTTTAACACAGTTGGACCCAGTATTTTATCCATTATTAATAGTTCCTTGGCGGAAGGTGTAGTCCCCTCTGCTTTTAAATATGCCGTGGTCCAACCACTTTTAAAGAAACCCAACCTTGATCCCACTGATTTTAACAATTTTAGACCAATCTCAAAACTTCCATTTTTATCAAAAGTTTAAGAAAAGGTGGTTTCAACACAACTTTTATCTTTTATGACTGAAAATAACCTCTTTGAGAAATTCCAATCCGGTATTAGAGCTCGTCACAGAACAGAGACTGCCCTCCTCAAGGTATCCAATGACCTTCTTTTAGCAGCAGACAGAGGGGAGGGCACAATTGTAATTCTTTTAGCTCTTAGCACAGCTTTTGATACTGTTGATCACACAATGTTAATTGATCGTCTCAGAAAATGGGATAGTTTAAAGGATAGGACTCTTATCTTTTAGAAAGAACCTTTGTGGTCACCATCGGTAACTACTCCTCCTCTACCTCTAACATTACCTGTGGTGTACCGCAAGGTTCGGTTTTAGGTCCCATTTTATTCACCATTTATATGCTGCCTCTTGGCCAAATAATTGAACGCCACAAAGTCTCCTTTCACTGCTATGCAGACGACACCTAGATATACCTTCCTTTGAGACCTGAGGACGCTAGGACCTAGCTGCTGTCAGAAACGATATCAACTGCTGGATGGCACAAAACTTTCTCCAACTTAACAATTCTAAATCTGAAATCATAGTATTCAACCCGCCAAACTCCACTCATATTTCAAAGAGCAGCCTCGGTCCCTTTTTCGCCAATATCCAACCCACTGCCAGAAATCTAGGAATAACATTTGATTGCAATCTCACCTTTGAATCCCATATCAAAACATTTGTCCGATCATGCTTCTTCCATCTACGCACCATCTCCAAAATTAAAACAATACTAACCCAACCAGACCTTGAAAAGATCATCCACGCTGTCATTTTCTCCCAACTTGACTACTGTAACTCCCTCTTTTCCGGAATCACAAATAAGTCACTGTCTCGCCTCCAGCTAGTCCAAAATGCAGCAGCTAGGCTTCTTACTGGTTGTAACAGACGACATCACATCACTCCAATTTTAGCTTCATTACATTGGCTTCCTGTAAGTTTTAGAATCGATTAGATTTTACTCATTACTTTTAAAGCACAGACGGGGCTGGCTCCAAGCTATATAACAGAGCTACTGACACCATATGAGCCAGCCCACAGTCTTAGATCCTCAGGTGCGGGCCTCCTGGTCGTTCCAAAGTCGAGACTTAAAACTAAAGGTGACCGGGCCTTTTCAGTCAGGGCCTCTTGACGCTGGAACGACCTCCCTGAGGAAATGAGACTTGCAGATTCCCTCAATTCTTTTAAATTCTTTCTTAGCTACGTATGTACTTTTACAGACTTGCTTTTATGTGATGTCGTCTTCTTAATGTCTTTTCTTACTGGTTTTACTATTTTTATCTTCTTTTACTTCTTACTGTCCTTTTATTTATGCTCTTTATTTATGCTCTTATCTCGTATTTATGCTCATATCTTAACTCCTCTTGTGTTTTAACTTGGTCATTTCTTATCTTACTTACTTTGTCTATTTATGTTTTAATAATAATAATAATAATAACTTTATTTATATAGCACCTTTTAAAAACACAGGTTTACAAAGTGCTTTGACAAACAGCAAGAACAAAGCATATATTTATGCTCGTTTTATATTTATATATATTTTTTTAACTTTTTATTATTATTATACTTGTTTTTTCTATCGTTTAACCGCTTGTTTCTATTTCTTTTACTGCTTTTACCTTCTTATTGCTGTTATCTTTTTATTTGCTTTTAGCTCTTTTAGTTTCTTACATCATTTTAAGTCTTTGCTCCTCTTGTCTCAGCTCGTGTTGTTGGGTTCTTGTTTTTCCTGGGTTCTTATGATGGTTCTTGTGATGGTCGGGTTATATATGTCTGTTTGGTATCGTGCACTATGGGTTCTTTTCTGTTGAATTGTATTTAATTATTTTTAGTATTTTGCATTTCTTCTGTTCTTGCTGTTGTTTATGTTCTTCTGTGTTTGGTTTAGTTAGTGTTGTTCTTGTTTTTGCTGTTTGCCAAAGCACTTTGTAAACCTGCTTTTTTAAAAAGGTGTTATATAAATAAAGTTATTATTATTATTATTATTATTATTATTCTTATGACGCCCCACAATTCCTTGCGGCCGCAACATTTAAAGCGAGTTGTGCAACCGACCGTTCATGAACATTAACAATGACCGTAAAGTGACACAGATCATGTAAGGGATAAAAGATAAGAGACATTTTTATCCAGATGATGTTTTATTCAACATATTTCATTCACTTAAGAATGCTTTGTGCAGTTGGATATTTGTATGCTTAAAAACATGTGAAGGCTATATCTTGCATAAATGTAACAATTAATTTCATACAATCATACTTATTTTGATGTTGATTTATGAGTGCACAGGAATGTGATGGTTTCACTTTTGTTACTTGTAGCCTGGTAGCCTATGTTTATTTTATTTCAATCCCAACCTTGTGGTAATTAGGATTATTTCACCGGCAAGAAGGCACGGGAAAGTTTTTTAGATGCGCTTTTAGTAGTCCATTTTCGGAACATTGTAGTTTCAACACGGCGGACCCATGTCATTAACCTCCGCCGGCCCGTCGCATTTAATGACGTCGCCTAGTGGAAATGTGGTCGGATTGTCAGAGCAACGCGATCGCCTTTCCTTATGTCCTTTATGACGTTTTCTAATCTACCACCAAAACATTCTCAGGGCAGTTTTTGTCTACACAGGGGCGTGGTCACTCTGGTTCCTTACTTTATTTCAAAATAAAAGCAGGGTTCAATTAAAACAGCAAGTAAAGTACCCCCAGCAAAAATACAAAATAAAAGCATAAAAACTGTGAATTTCAAACATCAATGAAAAGTATGATTAATTGCGACTTAGAACTTAGAAAGACTCATTTGACATCCCTGATGATGAATAATTAGTCCCATGTCTTCAGCCTCACACTTTGCTCTCCTTGTTCATTAAATGAAGAGCATGAGGACCCCAGCCACGATAAAAACGGATTATTCGATGCTCCCCCAGCTTCTCGATGGTTTGGTACTCAAATGCTCCGGGATGGCCTCCAGTTTTGATAAGCTTCCAAGCGTTTAAGGACCAGTAATGGTTCCAGTCTCCATTTTCATCTGCTCCAAAACCAAACACGTGTAACTGTGAAAAAAACAAACAAACATGACTGAAAAAGATCAAACTCTTCAAATCACAAATATTCATAACAGTGTATATCTCTAAATAGAGGTGGGCGATATGGGAAAAATATCATATCACGATTTTTTTGGGCAAAATCACGATCACAATTTTATCACAATTTTTTTCATACTGTTCTTTAGACAAATTTGTAAGTTACTGACCAGTTCAACCAAACTTATTTCCCTGTATAATGTTTTTCAATAGACAAAAACTGCGCTGACAAGTTTAATCTATATAAAAAACATCTTTGTAGGAGGTCTCACCCAGAACATCTTTAGCAACAGAAATGTCTTTCCCTCAATTTGATCAATATTTATGCACAATTTGAAGGTTTTCCTCACCACTTTGAAATTATGATTTAGTTATGTGTCCTCTTTTTATGTTCATCAGGAACATTTTCATGCAGTGATGCATTCATTTAAAAACATGTAGACTTCGAGTTCTTGTGTTTCTGTTCTATTTTAGCCCTGCAGAGTTCCTACAGCTGTAGCTTCATACAGGCTCTGCAGCCTTTGTTGTTTTTTACGACATCAGTGGACTAACTTTAGTTTTGTTTATATTAATCAAACATAATACAGAATGTGTTTATTCTGTGACACATTATAAAAGTAAGTTTTACTGACAGAATAGTTTAATTCATAGAGGGGGTGGGACATTGTTGATTGACAGACAGACAGTCACCATGGTTACTCACTCTCACCTGCCTGCTGCTTTGTAACATCGTTTAGCCTAATTCCTATAGTTTCCGTTATCACAACAGGTGAGCTTCGGGTGGAGAGGCTTGATAGTAACTTTAAAAAACTGAGAGAGAGCAGAAAACACAGACAGCAACATTTTAAACACCGGGGGTTATATCTCCCATCACTGACTGTCTGAGCTCCGCTCTGTCTGTCTCTCTGCAGACTGTGAATGTCTCTCCAGCTCATTAAACAGTTTCTTGTGTCGCTATCTGAGATGTAGGCTAATCTTAACTGTGCAAACTATGCAGATAAGTTAACTGTTGCTCACAGCGTGTCGGTTTGAATGAAAATATCAGAACAGTTGCATATAACCGGGATGGAGTTGTTTTTGCAGACTTTACTTTTAAGTTTTGTTTTCACCGCTGCGGAGCAAGAAAGGAGGGAGGGGAGAGACGCGTCTGTGTAGGAGCATAAACTGCAGCATGGTAGAATAAACATATAAGCCTGGTTCTACGATCTCTCTGCTTTGGCAGATTGTCAGCAAGTTAAAATCCTTCACGATCTAAGATCGCCCACTACTATCTCTAAACATAAGACCGTTTTTATTTATCCAAACACGCCTGAAAGACTTTAAATGGGGGGAGACATGAGGGGGAGACACCAGGTGGGAGACACCAGGGGGAGACATCAGGGAGAGACACCAGGTGGGAGACACCAGGGGGAAAGACCAGGGGGAGACACCAGGTGGGAGGCACCAGGGGGAGACACCAGGTGGGAGACATCAGGGGGAGACACCAGGTGGGAGACACCAGGGGGAGACACCAGGGGGGTACTGACACATTTAACTCACCTCATCACAAAGATGCATGGCCAGAACCAAAGTCATAAATCCAGTGGAAGGATAATGGCCCTTCTTTTCCAGCCATGCTTCATGGACGTATTGCATAAAGACCGGGTTGACCACCATCGCCTGTTAAGAATCACAAACACACCTCAAACTTTATATGAACGTTTTTACAGCCAATACATTTGATCATCAATCAATCAACTGAAAATACTCACCAAATCCTTGTTGGCTCTGACCTTTGCTCTGAAGCGTGGGCTGTTGAGACATGACATTTCAAACTTCCATAATTCATTTCCAGGTAAATTATAAAAGCCTATACAGGTGAACTGAT